GATGTGCTTCGAGTGGTTGTTGGGCTTGTTGAGTGGTTCAGGAAGGGGGGTGATGTCGCGCCAGAGAGTCAAAGTGGTTTTGGACATGATTAAAGTGGTTTTAACCGAGAACAGAAGATTGTGAGATGTAAAGTGTGATTTGATGGTTCTACGACAGCTCAAGTCCTGCTTCTTATACCCTCATATAGATTCCAGACTCACAACACGGCGGGGTGTTCTGACGGTCCCGTCCAAACATCCCGAACCCCGACGTCCGATTTGGCGAAGGGTTGACCGAGAATACACCTCGTCTTAACCTCACGCCCGCTGTTCTGAGGATAGGATCAAGGATCATTGGAGGGCCATCCGCTGTGTGCAAGATTGCGAAAGTGAATTAGAATAAACAGGTTCTGCCAGGGAGACCGACGCATTCTATACTTCCAAGGAATTCGAATCATCAAAGTGCGAGGTCTAGGTTGGCTTGAGTCCTTCAGACATGATGTGCCATGAAATATTGTATTGCGTACCTTTTGCCTCTTGACGTCCCTCATCATCCCGCGGGTATTTACCGCCCAACTACAGTTCGACGACTCAATGCGCTTTTTTTCACCAACTGTCAACCTCACTTTTTTCCTTTTTCGACGGCTGACGTAGACAGTTTGGGGGTTTACGCTGGCGGGCTAGCGGGGTTCCCGCAAATCAACTTGTGCCAGTTGTACTAGTTATGATGTATTTCTAGCGTATAATAGGCAACGGTTCCTCGTTCGCACCCAATCATCGCTACCTAGGCCTTCGATTCGCATTGCGTATCTTTGTATGCGTGTATGCTATCACCTGTTCTCCTCTCCTTGAAAGTAATTGTGATGGGTGGGATTTTCGGGTAAGTCTAGACTCGGGGCTCGCGCAGCCAAGAGATTCTTTCTTTTTTACTTTCGAGTTCCATTGTCATTCTGAGTCTTGTTTTTGCGATCTCAAATCGAATTGAGCTTCTGAATGTGATTTGTCCTGTACTGTACGTGTCACTGGTGCGCTAGATGTTAGAGACCAGTTGTTTAGCATCAGCCTTTGTTCACTCCATGACGAATGAAACTTCTCTCCCGCTGATCTCCCACTGGCCACGGCCGCAGGAAATGCGGCGGGTGAGATCTTCAAGTGAGTGCCTAGTTCTGGGATACTTGGCATAAAGCAGACAGAAACGCCTTGTACCAAGTCTCTGACCCGGACTCCAAATCCCCCCATTGCAGCTTTTTTTTGGGAACTCTTCGGACCTTGTTAAAAATAGTGAATAACAATACATGTACAAAATAGCGACGTAAACACAAAGTAAAAAAACCTGTGGTTATGATACAACTTGTTGAATGTTTCGTAGTACATCAGTAGGCCTTTAGGCCTTAGCACTGTCCCATAGCTCATCACACGCAGCCTTATGAAACCTAACCCACAAACCACCCCTCACAAAAAGCGTCAACGCAGCCCCAGGCCACACCTTCTCCTCCTTCTTCCTCTCGCTTCCCTTCCTCGTCCTGTTCGAATCCTTCCACTCCTCAGGGGGCAACGTCCCCTCAGGCTGAACACCCTCCCCAGCCAAACTGAACCCGTCAAACTGCTGTAAAAGCCTCACAAGAAAATACGAAGCCTGGTTATACGCGTAATTCTGTCCTATACAGATCCGTGGGCCAAGACTGAAAGGCATCCACATCGTTGGGTTCTCAACGAATTTTTGAACTCGGTCTCGTTCAATCCATCGTGAAGGATCGAAGCGTTCAGCGTCTGGACCCCAGAGGGATTTGTTGCGCTGGATTAGGAGGGGGAAGAACATGACTGGGGTGCCACGGGGGATGTAGAGTGGGCGGGGGTCGGTAGTTGTGGGGTTTGAGGTGGGGATGGTTCCGGTGTGTGAAGGTGATTTCGGGGAGGGAAAGGAGGAGTGGGAGAAGGTTGGGTCAGGGGGAGGGAGAGTGCATGATTGGCGACATTCTCGGACGTTTAACGGGACGGGTGGGAAGAGTCGGAGGGTTTCGTTTAGGACTGCTCGCACTGTACGCGGGGGAGATTTTGTCAGTAATCATTCAGAAAGAAAACAAGGACGACTTACTATACTTCATACCTCGGATCTGGTCATATGTAGGCGAATTCCGAGGTCCACAGTGGTCTAGAACCTCCTGTCGGAGATTCTGACATACTTCCGGGTGAATAGCCATGAAGTACGTGACGTAGGTCAAAAGGCACGCTGTCTATTAATGAGAACACGAAGTCATAAGCATCGAGAAAATTCAACAAGACAAGAAAACGTACCGTATCCCTTGAAGCAAGCAGAAGGCTAAGCAGTTGATCCCTAATAATAACTGGATCTGTTCCCAAATAGCTTCAGTTCCAACCTGTCAAAATTTCAATTATTACGGGACTTACCATCCGTACTCTCGCACAGATGTTGCAAGAACGTCCTCTCTCCAACAGGAGAAACCACCCCTTTGCTTTTCATCTTCTCTTTCTCGTCCAACGCTTCTTTCACAAGTGGCTCCAAAAATTCATGAATAACATCAACATTCTCCGCGTTTTTGTCCTTGAATAGTTCAAACAAGGGCCAGAAATACCCGAGGCGGCCACGGGATGTTATGACTTGCTGAGCTGTTTCGAAAGCTTGAGTGAATCCGTCCCAACCTGGCGTGGGACTTCCATGGCCATCTTTCGAGGATTTGTTATCGGCAGTGGAGGAAGCAAGTGATCCTTTCGGACTAATCGTAGTAGACCCAGGAGTTGGAAGAGAGCCCGAAAGTGTATCGAGGTTCCTTCCGAAGAACAAATCCGACCCAGAGTCAATTGTGAAACGAGAATACAAGTCTTGTGCGTCTATGGGCGCTGATAGGTCATTGAAGGAGGGATCGGAGGCGCCGCAAGGGTGGGAAGAAGAATTGGAAATGATAGAAAGAGTATGAGACGTGTATCGCTCAAAGGACTCAAAGTCTGATATCCGTTCGCGAGCGAAGAATGGGCGGGTGTTTGATCTGTGCATGCGCCATATCTGTATTTGGGAGTTAGCAATCATGTGAGGTGAAGTGGAAATTAGGAAATAGAAGTGTTTTAGGAAAGAAAGCGCGGGAAGTCAGTGGGCGTGACTATGAGGTATGTGTTGGGCGGGGCGGGAGAAGAAGATGCAAGATGTGTCGGGTGATACGATATTAGGGAATAGAAGAGATTAGTGTAACAGGAAATAGAAGTGCGAGGAGAGGTGGGGAGGAGAGATGGGAGCGCAGGTCGGGAGAAGAATTATTCGGGAGTTGGAAGATTCAACAGATGAGTGATTTCAAGAAGATAAACTCACATCATCGTCTCTATTGAATATCCCCTGACCCAAAAACGTTTCCCTACGCCACCAAGTTAGATGGGCGCGACGTGGACGGGAAAACCGGGCGAAACACATACATTCGTTCTTTCTGATACTTTCCCCTCCAAAAGTTATTGAAACCCGTAGCCATGAGGTATTTTACATGTTCCTGATCCATTGTTATGATCTGCAGTCGTAGTTAGCAGTTAATGAGCCATCAGTAAACAAAGTAAGACGGACTTGGACTCACGTTGTCAGACCACAAGATTCTAGTGTTCAACGTCGTACACTGATATTCTTCAAACAATTCAAGATAAACGTCCATAATATAACTCCTCCCAAACGATTTCATCATCTTTAACAGGATATCCAAATTTCCTGGCCATTTTCCAGCGACACAAGGGACTTCTCTAGCTCCTAATTGATGTCGGGCTCGTGCTTGAATGAAACGAGTTACTTGACCTTTACACCACGCGAAGGCGAGAATGAAAAGAGGGTGTACAGGGGGTGTGAGTAGCCAGCTTAGGGGAATGGAGGAGAGACGGAGAAATGTGGAAAGGAGTAGGGAGGGGAGAATGATGAGTCGGAGAAAGTCGAGAGCTAGTCTTGTTCTGTATGACCCTTGGTGCATGATGCCGCGACCTTGGAACTCTGAGAGTGAGGAGATGGGATGGAGATGGGGATGGATTCGTCGACCATGATGTGCTTAAATACTTTCTTGCTCTTGTTCGTATGGAAAGATGGAAAAAAAACCTGTAAGGCGAACCATGTGTTAAAGAGTCGGTGAGAAATTGGGCCTAACTGTTACCGATATCACTGCACTCCGTCACAGGTACTGAACCATCACTGAATTGCATTGAATGATTGTTCGTTGACTTATCGAGGATCTGTCAATATCGGCATGTCATTTGAACCGAGATTGAGATTGGCCATGAGGATAATAGGTGGGTTTGCACTTTGCAGGGTAAAAAGTTGCTTGAACGGAATTTTATTTTATTTCTTTGAAGAATATTTTTGAGCTTCCATCAGGGCTTTCCCTCAAAGAAAAAAAAGGACGTTCTGCTGGGTGACGGGTCCGGGGATGAAAAGAGACCGAGACGGTTAATCGGCAGTAGCTGACGATGAGCACCGGTGGTTAGTCATTGGAGTCTGGAGCTTGAGTGATAGTTGTGACTTATTCTGACATGAGAGGGAGGAGAGAACGGAGTCGGCGTTGTACGTCGTTTTTACCATACATGCTGGTGTCAAAGAGGTATGTAAGCGCCTTTAAGCGCTCAATTAATATTTACGTCTCTCCTGGACTCCGACTCGCCTACAAGCTACTTGAACGATCGCAACTTGGATCTGAACTTGAAGCAGCATTCTAACAAGCGTACCTCGATGAGAATATCACCTCCAAGGCGGGTATTTTTGATACCGAGCGTACAGTGATCAGAATATTCTCTCGCAAAATATAATATTATACGCCCGCTCGATGTCTTCCACCGTACATCCAACCTTGAACGTTTACTTGGGCGCGCACGTCAGGCGGCACGCCAACGTCTAAGACTTGTAGTGTTTGAGAGGGTTCCCGCCGTCGTTTTCTCACAGTTTGCGAAGACCTCCGTGCCCGACACGTGGTGGCGAACGAAAAACGCAGCCATGGAACGGCCCGTATAAACCCGGAGGTATACATAGAGGCTTCCAAGGATGGGTAACACCGTTGGTGAAGTGGTTATCATGCTTGCCTTCCATGCACGACTTCAGCAAGCGGCTCGGGTTCGATTCCCGAACGGTGTATGATGTATAAGCAGCGATTTCATTTTTATCTCAAGTTGCGTGCGTCGCTATTGTCCTTGACCACCTACCACCACGACGGCCACTACTACCCTCAAATCCTCGATGCCCATTGCCAAACGAAGAAAACTTTCATCGTCATCCAAATCCGCGGGTTGCCGATTCACAACAACTGTCAACGATATCACGCCCCCTTCCCTCAGTACCACCAACGTCGCGACACGCGTTTCGTGCGTTTCATGCCACAGAGTATTGAACGCGTCTCTCAGTCTGAAAGCGTCTTCACCTTTTTTATGTCCAATGTACGTTTTTGTTTCCCTCACTCCCAACATCCGGCTGACAACAAGAAAAATTCCAACGGCAGATGTAACTCCCCATCATGCGCCATCTGCTCTCGAACTTGTCGCGGCCTCAGTTCTATCGGTTCAAGAGTCACCACGACTTCCCCATGGCCATCTTCTATCTCTCCAGCTCATCCGATCCCTGAACCACCCTTACCGGATTTAACGTGGTCACCCTCACCCACGTATACGTCACCTACATCGACACCTTCACCACCTCTGGCCGCACGCTCACCGAAACGATTTGCTTTAGCTCTAAACGCTGGAAATACGAATCTTATTTCTATTTCCAATTCAAATACCATTCTCAACGCGACCTCGAACACCACCGGGAAGCGGAAAACGAGGGTTGAATCGGAAGAAGCGGTGAACGATGGAGATATACAAGCCGAGAACGAGACCGGGGTAGGAAAAGGTTCAGGGTGTGGAAGAGTAGTGTGTAAGAACTGTTGTTATGAGGATACGATATGGTACGTTTTCCGTTCGGCAGTCTACATTTTTTTGTCTCGCTTATCTGGCTCTTTTTGTAGTACGATATGCATCGAGTGTCTTCCACGCGCTTAGATGTCTTTAATTATCATAAACATGAATCGGAAATGTGACGAGTCCGTGTATGTATGCGAACGCATGGCGCGTTAACCGAGAGAATACGTTCCAATTCCGACCTTGCGACTCAGCGTAATCCAATACGCAGCTCCGCAAGCTACATCGTTCCGACTGGAGGTGGCCATCTCACCCTCTTTCCTCCCGTTGTTTTTAGGGGATGGAGGATGGCAAATCAAAGGGCCAAAGTTCCCTCAGTGCCTCTCAACAAAGGGTCGCAACTGCAAAAAAAGCTCAAGTGTTTCAAACGTTCAAGCACGCCGAAAGCTCTGTAAGAACTCGTTTTGGATGAATGCGGTTTCCTGATCATACTTTGACGGTATCTGTTATCGATTGTCAAGGCTGTGGGCACCGGCGAGCCGCTAGTGACAGCAATATCTCTTCAAAATGGGTTCGAATCGTATCCGAATTTCTGAAACACCGGTGGGGTGGGATTGCCCATTGACGACGTGCTCTCACTTCCCTTGTATAGAGCTGAAGTCCAGTTTATTGTTTTAGTACCACATGAAATCAATCAGGTTCAATACTGTACCGGAGAAGTATGGCAGCAACCGACTGGAGGAGTGCTACACACATCAACTCAAGACGACACGGTCCAATTCATGGATTATAACCCGGGAAGCAAGCGATGATTTGAGTATTTGGCGACTTATCGAAAGTTTTGCCTCAGTTGAGCCTGATAGGCTTGCGACAGGCCGACTGTTACACGTTGCAAGAATAATGTTGACACTCATTATGTGTCACGGCTGCTATGACATACTCTGAACGCGTTCAATTACTCGCACAGAGGTCTACCTTGCCGCAAAAGAAACAAATCAGATATAATTTCCTTGTCGCTCGCTGTTCTCGGGAAGAAGCTTGTGAATGTGGCTAGGATGCGTTTTACCGAAGACAAGCGTACCCTGTTTTGCTCCAACTCCTGCTGTTCTCTATAAATGAGTCGACGTTGCGTCGTTTGGGCCAGGCCTTTTTCCCGACGACTTACTCTCATCAGCACTGTTACTTGACTTGATTGACATTCCAGATGGACGACAGTACCAATGACCTCGAATGCATCCCCTCGCCCCTTTCCTTATAGCTGAACAGGTCATCACTAGACCGCTTTCTACCCTCTCGGTGCATTCTTTCGATCACATATCTTTTCATATCATTTGATGTTTTCTGATTTCTTACAGGTAATGTTTGCGATATATGGTTCGTTCGTTTGCTACTTGTTCCATTCCAAAACGAGATATTGATCTAGGACGTCACGAACAGGAATTTATGTTATGGTATTCGGACTAGCAATCCGTGTTCTTTCTCGACGTGATGGGCCCTCGTCTAGGCTGTACATGGGGTGGTCCATAAACCTCTTTGTGCTTTCCACGCTCTTTGTGGCCATGCATACCCGGGGAACGTCCCGGGAAATGATGATTGAAGTTGAGGCTGCAGCAACAAAGAACTATACACCTTTCCTGAAGTACCTTCGTTTTGATGAGGGGAATATTTCAAGCTTGTAAGTGAGCATTTTTGAGTACTTTATTCAGACACCCTGACAGTCTCGTCCGCTCAAGCTCAATCACCGATTTCGTGGCTTGCATAATGAAGTACGTATTCCTCAGATCCTTTTATATCCCATCGCCCTAACTTATGATCAGTGCCATTGCTGATTCAATGCTGGTAAGTTCTCTCAAATGCAAATTGCCGTAAATGCTAAGTATTATCTCTATCAGATCCACCGGTGCTGTGTTGTCTGGCAATCAAAAATCATGATGTATTTTCTGGCTTTCCTTGCTGTCGTCTTGAATGGTCTGTCTTTCCACTCTCATTGCATTCCCAAAAACTTGCTTGTTGATATCTTTTGACAGGCATTTACCTTGGATCTATTATTGCTGAGACTATGGGGTTGAGCATTCCCAACAATCACCTTTACAACACACGTTCAGTCATTGACGATGGAATAACGATGGTAACTGCTGTTTTTCAAGTCTTACTGGCATTGCTAACAGGTAGGGGCGCCCTCACTCCTTTCACACATGTGAGTTTAACAAACTCTCGACTGAAGGGGGCCGAATTTGGTGGATCAGCCGAGAAGCAAGGTGCTTAATGAGATGGTCAGCAAAGGCCAGATACAATTCAATTGTAGTGATTATGTATGTTCCCCCGCTCCAATCTACAATAACCACGGCCCATTTACTGTGGGGAGGAAGTATTGAATCAGGTGTATTTTATGCAGTTTGCTTGGTGGCTGATGTCATTATTGAGTTTGTGTTCGACCCTGACAATCATGGTCTTATCCCTTTTGATTTTGGACCGGTTGTGGTGCTGATGTCAGTGAGTTGTTAAAATGTGTGATGCCATTGATGAATGACTTGAGTCTACATCCTAGGGCCTTGCTCCTACTCTTATCATTGTACAGGTCATGTATGGAAAGTCTGTCAACAGTGTCCAACAAATGGTGTCGTTACAATTGACAGATGCCCAGGGAAATAGCCAGGGCTCAAGGCTGGCCATCGACTTACAACCAACAACACAGATCGGTGGTCATGTGCAGTCGCAATTGGATGAGCCATTGCCTGTGCCAGTGACAGGTGAAAAGATGGTGTGATGGGTGGCCCAGTGGCCACTGGCTCCCAAAATGTAGGCAGGGAGGTGATCCATGATTATTGTTGGAAGTGGAAATCCCATACACTCGACATACCCGATAGTCTCCTAATTTGGTATCTATGTTTCCAGTTGCAGTTACCCTATTTTTGATTGATACTTCTGCTTGCTCCTTTATACAATTGTTTCAACTCCTTTCCTATATTACTTATTTACTTGCGTACGCTATTCCCGACACCTCAGCTTTACCCTTCCATGGTCTGCTGAGGTGTGTATTCCCATACATTCACTTATTCGATTGTTAAGCTTACCTTTTGTTCTAACAGTATTCATACTTACGTCTGTCTGTTAGGTTATGGGCCCCGAGCTCTCATAAACTGCAATAGATCACAAACTACTCTGAAAGCTCACGATTATGACTACTGTTCAGTCATCTAATAACTATACTAGTATCCAGGCTCTCCCTGACGAACAGAAGTTCAATGGGGAGAATTACTTCACGTTCTGGGATGTGATCCTAATGCATGGAAGAGTGAAAGGCCTGGATCTGTATTGGGAAGCCAGGATTGTAATACCGAAGGACCCTGACCTACTGAAGCCCACACAGGCCATGACGGCTGAAGCCCCTGTGACCATAACAACTACTACCGATGCCACCAACACCCGTACCGCTACTTCTGTAAATGATCCCAGACTGCTGTTCCTCGAATATATGCTATGAGAATCTGTTGCATTCCTCACTATCTGGAATAATGTTAAAGATCCTATCGTGTCACGAAGTGTGTATTATTTTCATCTATCTTCATATGATCTCTTTTCCTTTCACTACGATACACAACATCATCCCCGTTTCATCTCTTGATTCTATCTTTATTCCACTGCTTTCTGTTACTTTCCGTGACGTTCTACCAGTTTCCGCATGACACCAGGTCATGACATCATAGGTCACATGCCAGGTAGTATATATAGGACGACTTGTCACCTAGTCCCCCATCTTGACCTCTTTGTCATTGGGACTAGGTGCATATTTGTACTTTGTAGGATACTGGGCAGTATTGATTATCTTTGTCATTGGGACTAGTTGTTGACTGTCGAGCCTCTGCTCCAGTTTCTGTGTGTTTGCTACTGGTGCTTCACCACATTAGGTCAAGATCCCTACTGCATGGGCACCCTTCCAATAAGGCTGTCTCTGCAGGCCGTACCGTTCTGCCACGTCTCCAACATTCAGCGCATCGAGACCCGACTCCAAAGAAGAATCTGAACAAGAGAAACTTGACTGCTCCACACGACCACACGCATACGACGTTACTGACGACGAGCACGTACACCTAACCACCAACAGAGAGTGGACCAGCTGTGACCAGAACGAGTGCCCAAACGCACTTGCCAACTCTATTTCCAAACTGCAGGACTTAATCGACAACAACGGTAGCGTTCTCGAATTCGACCGTTTTATCCCTGTCCTTCCACCGTTAC